GGCACAGTTTCAATACTTGGTCAGAGAACTAAGATCCCACATGTCACTAAGCACAGACAAAAAAAAAGAAAGAAAGAAAAAACTTACATCTTTTTTTCCTTTTAATAAATATTTCATTTTTTTCACTTTTTTAAATTGAAGGATAAATTCTTTACAGAATTTTGTGGTTTTCTGTCACACATCAACAAGAATCAGCCACAGGTACACCCATGTCCCCTCCCTCCGGAACCTCCCATCTCCCTCTCATCCCACCCTTCTAGATCATCATAGAGCCCCTGTTTGAATTCCCTGAGTTATACAGCAAATTCCCACTATTTTGCACATGGTATTGTAAATTTCCATGTTTCTCTCTCCATACATCTCACCCTCTTCCTCCTCCCCTCCCCATGTCCTTAGGTCTGTTTTCTATGTCTGTTTCTCCATTGCTGCCCTGAAAATTAATTCACCAGTACCAACTTTCTAGATTCCATATATATGTGAGAACATATGATAGTTACATTTCTGACTTACTTTACTCTGTGTAATAGGCTTTAGGTTTGTCCACCTCATTAGAACTGACTCAAATGTGTTCCTTTTTATGGCTAATACACCAGCTCGATGGACATGAGTTTGAGTAAACTCCGGGAGTTGGTGATGGACAGGGAGGCCTGGTGTGCTGTGATTCATGGGGTCACAAAGAGTCGGACACGACTGAACGACTGAACTGAACTGAATTGAATATTCCATTGTGTATATGTACTACAGCTTCTTTATCCATTCATCTGTTGATGGACATCTATGTTGCTTTCATGTCCTAGCTATTGTAAATAGCACTGCAATGAACGTTGGGGTACATGTGTCTTTTTCAATTATGGTTTTCTCAGAGTATATATCTAGGAGTGGGATTGCTGGGTCATATGGTGATTTTATTCCTAGTTTTTTAAGGAATCTCCATACTGTCTTCCATAGTGGCTGTATCAATTTACATTGATACAGCAATGCAAAAGGGTTCCCTTGTTCCACACCCTCTCCAGCATTTATTGTTTGTAGACTTTTTGATGATGGCCATTCTGACTGGTGCAGGGTGATATCTCATTGTAGTTTTGATTTGGATTTCTCTAATGAGTGATGTTGAGCATCTTTTCATGTGTTTGTTAGCCATCTGTATGTCTTCTTTGGAGAAATGTGTTTAGGTCTTTTTCCCACTTTTTGATTGGGTTGTTTGTTTTTCTGGTATTAAGTTGTATGAACTGCTTTATATTTTGGAAATTCTTGGTCAGTTTCTCTCATTCTGAGGGTTGTCTTTTCACCTTGTTCGTAGTTTCCTTTACTGTCCAAAAGCTTTTAAGTTTAATTAGGTTCCACTTGTTTATTTTTGTTTTTATTTCCATTACTTTAGGAGGTGGGTCATAGAAGATATTGCTTTGTCACTGAGTGTTCTAGGTTTTCCTCTAAGAGTTTTATAGTTTCTGATCTTGCATTTAAGTCTTTAAGAGCTTACATCTTAAGAATCTTTGAAATCCAAGCCTCAAAACGCCTCCTTGTCGTGTCCACCAATCCTAAACTCTATCACAATCTTTATGCTATCCTAGTCAAGGCATCCTTCCCTGCACAGAAAGCCCCACCTGAAACCAGACTCGGAAATCTCCTTCTCATGACTGTGCCCTCCCTACACTGGCACGCTGGGGAGGCATGGTAAAGATCTCCCTGACCCGGAGAAGAGCTGTTTCGGCTCTGTCTGGCCAACAGCTCTCAGCCTGTGATATTTTTGGTAAGCCAGCATTCAGCAAAAAGAAATGAAGTTGGGGGAGTCTTCTTTTTGACCTTTGGGGTGGGGTGCGTGGCAGCCTGAGTCCAGGCTGGTCCAAAAGACACAGCTATAGTGAAGCCCCCAGAACCACAGAGTGAGTTCCAGAAAGTCTCTTGGGGATCCCTTTACAGCCCCTTCTCTTTACAGACAGCAAACAGGGTCCAGAGAGAGGAAAGGAATTTGTCCAATGCACAGAACTCACTGCACTTGTTGGTAGATTAAATGAGTTAATATCCATCACGTGCTTAGACACTGCCTGGTGTGTCCTAAGCTCTATATGTGTTTGTGAAACAAAAGTGATGGCAAGGCTGTCCTAAAACTCAAGGCAAACTCGGGCTGATCTCCCAGATTTAGAAAACAAAAACTGACTTAAACCTTGAAGCCAGGAGCAGTTTCTCATGTGCATCAGAACTACTGGAGTTAAAGATTATTAAAGTGGCGTGCTGGTCTCCACCTCCAGAGCATCTGATTCTGTAGCTATGGGGTTGGGGTGAGATCTCTAACCAGCTCCCTGGCTGGTCCGAGACCCCTCCTTGAGAACTTTTGACCCTGAGAAACGAACCACTAAGGGTGCAATTTCTGGCATCAGTCAGGGAGAAACGGCAAGGTGGGGACAGTGGGCCCCTCATCCTTCTGCAGGTACCAGGTTCCCCAGACTGATGTTTAGACCTCTGCAGCTGCACAGAGTCAGGGCAGGCATCAACTCTGCCTGGCTGTGTCTCCACCCACAGTGAATGTTCCAAGCCACACTCGGGTCAAGCAGCTTTACCCCATAATTTCAACCAGAGGGGCAGCCCCTCCTCTTTGCCAATGGATGCGGTCACCACCCGGGCCACGTGAGATCTGTGCCGTGAGAATGAATCAAACAGCAACAGGCAGATGAAACCAATGCATTCTTTATTGCAGACTGAAGCAAAGGGCTCACTCACACAGTGGGCTTTGATTTCGGGCCTTCTCTGACTGCCCAAGCTTTCCCAGCAGGCATGGGCAAACTCTCCAGGCAGAGTAGAAAACAGATTCCAGAAGCCACCCCGTCTAAGGGCCTTAGGTGACAACCTGGGGAAGCAGTAGAAGTTACCCAGGAAGGCCAGGCAAAGCCAGCTCTCCTCTCCTGGCGGCTTTCTGTCAGTCTCTTCACTGGAAGCACCGCGCAGCCTCTGGAAAGATAGAAGGGGCCCAGGGTCTCTGGGGGCTGGCTTAGAGGGGCATGAGCAGACTCAGACTCCACCGATGGTGCAGAGGGAGAGCCGAGAACCTTCACCCTCTTCTCTGAGAATGTCCCCAGGATCGCCCCAGGCCCCTGCTTGTGGAAATCAGCTCTTCTGAAATGCAGTTTCTGGTTCCAGAAGTCTAGAATAGGGCCTGGGATTCTGCATTTCTATTGAGCTTCCATGGATGCCAACTCTGCAGGCCCACAGACCACACTTGAGCTGCAAGGCTCTGGCTATACAGTGTCTTCCTGCATATCGGAAAAGTGCACCCCTTCTTTGACAAGGAAAAACCCCACTCCAGGACACAGTCTAGGGTATCCCAATCAGCCTGGACTGGACTACAGGCTCACTCTTCCCCACCATCCACAGCTTAACTCCAAAGCCCTACAAGATCCCATTTCAGCCTCCTCAACCTGAAAACACTTTCCCCCAGAGCTTCACCAACCAGGCCTTGAAAGATGAGCAGAGCAAACACTGATCATTCAGGATTGGGCCAACAGTGGCCCAATCAGTCAGCCTCTTGCCGAGACCGAAGGCCTGGGCAGGGGTAGGCCGTGGAGCCGGGGAGGAGGAATGGGTCTGGGAGCATTCTGAGAAAGGGTTAGTGCTCTGAGCAGTGGTCTGAGCTGTGAACAGCCTAACCTCAGGACGGGAAGAGGGCCACTAGTCTACAGATGTACACTGGGTAGTCTGGCTTGCTGCAGACCCCTGAGGCCTCAGCTGTCTCCTGTAGACCAGGCCAGGTGGGCTCTGGGCTCTGAGTCTGCTTGCTCCACAGATGAGAAGGTGGGAGGTAGATATATCTGGGGATCATGGGGTCAGCAGCTGTCCAAACCACAGGTGTGGTCAGGAAGCCAGAGCCCAGGCCCCATGGAGGGACCAGTTGCCCGTTTGCTGGGTGCTGTCCCAGTGTTAGCGCTGAAAGTCCCAAGTCCCAGGAAACCCCTCAGTCCCGGGCACACAGAGATGGCTGGTCACACAATTTCCTGGCCACACCCTAGACTCCAGATCGAGGGCCTAGAGATGACTAGGTCATCAGGGCTCTGGGTGGTGGCAGCCTGGGAACTGGTCACAAATCCAGGGGTCCATGGTGCCTTCTGCCCCTACGTGGACCAATGACAAGGCAGCCAGACAACTGTCTGAGGGCGACTGTGTTGAGCGTGGCACAGGTGCGAATGTCTGTGTTTCTCTCTGGGCCGTCATTCCTGCAGCAGGACTGATGCCAGGCAAACCCGGTCACCACGGGGGAGGGATGCAGCAGTCTGGACTTCCAGCCCCGCTGACTTCTTAGTCATGGGGAAGCACAGGGCCTACTCAATATGCCCCCGCCGGTCCCTGGGCCCCTACACAAACTTTCTCAGCAGTGCCTCAGCGCTGGGCCACACTCTGTCTGCAGCTTTCCCGTGACGCCTAGTTCCAGTTCGCGCCAATCCAGGGGCCCAGAGGGCTGAGGACGGGGCACAGTGGAGGGCCTCATCCAGGTCAGTCTTCAGGAGACAATAAATAGATAGAGGTTCTTCTGTCACTCTCAGGGCAGCTGCTGGCTCTCAGCACTAGAAACAAGGCCTCAAACCCACAAGGGCCCAGAAAGTGCGCAGCAATGCTCATCCATGGGCCCAGAAGGTACTGATGACTTGCAGGTAACTTGGAGGTATGTGTTCTGCCAAAAGCCTTCAAGGAGTCAAAAGGAGGCAAAAGCCCCTGCCATTGCCCCCTTTCTCAAATTGTAAGGCTCAGAGGACCTGCCCAGGTTTGCACAGAAGCTGAGTGCCGGTTGCCTGGGCAAGCCCCTCCTCGCCTCCTCCATCCAGGTACTCCAGGGCCCACTACCACTCTACGCTATCTACCCAGGACCGTGGCACCCTCCCACCGCGCGCTACTCAGCCCACCCGTCCCCAGCCCCCCAAGCTTGGCCTCACACAGGCCCATGGGACTCCCTCCCCTAGGGCGCCAGGCCAGGTGGCCTCCGTCCCTTGCTGGGTGGGCATGAGGAGGCAGGCCTAGGGTGGGGGCGCCCGGGCGCCCTCTGGAGACATAAGCATGTCGAACTTGATGAGTGGTGGGGCGATGACGCGCACCTCGGCGTTCAGTGGGTTGAAGCGCAGGTTGATGCGGTGCAAGGCAGGCATGGCAGCCAGCTTCTCCACGGGCACATCTGTCAGGGAGAAGGGGACAAGTTAGGGGGTCAGGGACATGCGGGCAGAAAAGGATGATGGGTTCACTCACTGTATGTGGGCTCAGCACCTGGCACCCAGCCCCGTGTGAGGGGCCACTGGGACCCACCAGGGAGATACAACCACAGGCAGGAAAGCATCCTATTAAACACAGCATTACTACTTATCCCAGCCATGCTACTCCTGAGTGGGACTCACCGAACTGCAAACAGGCACTCAAAACACTTGTGTACATGTATTCACAGCAGCACTATTCACAATAGCCAGTGTCCACCAATGATGAATGGATAAACAAAAATCAGTATAGACAAACAACGGACTATTAGCTTGACATAGGCTACAACACAGATGAACCTGAAAAACGTTATGCTGAATGAAAGAAGTCAGACGTTAAGAGATCACAGAGTACATGATTCTATTCTTATGAAATGTCCAGAACAAGCAAAACCACAGGGACAGAAAGTAGATTAGTGGTTGCCAGGGACTGGGGAAGGAAGGATTGGAGAGGGACTACTTAATCGGTGCAGGGCCTCCTTTGGGGTGATAAAGTATTTTGGAACTAGATAGAGTTGACAGTTGCAGAGCAGTGTGAATGTATCAAATGCCACTGAACTGTACATTTTAAAATGGCTAATTTTATCACATTTTCTTTAAAGCTATACTAAAACTTGGTAACATTTACAGTTCCTCACACCTAAACTTTAGGATCCCTCCGTCTCTGGTTCAAGTCCCAGGTCAGCCACATAACAGCTGTGTGCCTAAAGCAAATGTCAAATATACGGAAAAGACAGAAACTCTAATTTGAAAAGATACATGCACCATAATGTTCATAGTAGCACTATTTACAATAGCCAGGACATGCATGCAACTTAAGTGTCCATCAACAGAAGAATGGATAAAGAAGATGTGTGTGTGTGTGTATATATACACACATACATACATACATATATATATGTATGTATATATATATATACACATGATGATACATGATGGAATACTACTCAGCCATAAAAAAACAATGAAATAATGCCATTTGTAGCAACACTGATGGACCTAAAGAATAATATACTGAGTGAAGTAAGTCAGATAGAGACAAATACCATATATCATTTATGTGTGGAATCTAAAATATAATACAAATTAAGTTATTTACAAAACAGAAGCAGGCTCACAGACATGTAAAGCAATGCCTGGTTGTCCAAGGGGAAAGGCAGGATGCATGTGTGTGCTCAGTTGTGTTTGACTCTGCAGCCCCGTGAACTGTAGCCCGCCGGGCTCCTCTGTCCATGGGATTTTCCAGTCAAGAATACCAGAGTGGGTTGCCATTTCCTTCTCCGGGGGAATCTTCCTGACCCAGGGATCGAACCCAAGTCTCCTGCATTGGCACTGGATTCTTTACCACCAAGCCACCTGGGACTCCCAAGGCAGAGTGGAGGAGTGATAAATTAGGAGTATGGGATTAACAGATCCACACCACTATATATAAAAAAATAACAAGGATTTACTGTATAGCATAGGAAACTATATTCAATATCTTGTAATAATCCATGTGGGTAAGAAACCTGAAAAAAGTATACATTATATTTGTATAGCTGAATCACTTCACTATATACCTAAAACTATACTTTAATTAAAAAATAATAAAATGAACTTCATATCAGGATAATAACAGTATATACCTCACATGGTTGTTTAAGCGTGAATAAGAGAATATCTGTGCAGTGATTCCTCAGAGACACTGTGGGTTTGGCTCCAGCCCACTGCAACAAAGTGAATATCTCAACAAAGGGAGTCATCTAAATATTTTGGTTTCCCAGTGCATATAAAAGTTGTTACCCTACCTTGTAGTCTATTAAATATGCAATAGCATTATATCTAAAAATATATACATGTACCTTAATTTTAAAACACTTTATTGCTAAAAAAAAATGTTCCCCATCATCTGAGCCTTCAGCAAGTCACAATCTTTTTGGGATAGGAACATCAAACATCACTGATCACAGGTCACAGGAGTTTGCTCTCCCTTTAGTACCCTGGGGTGACTGGCTCTGAGCTCCCTGGGGACTGGCTCTATCAATTAGACCAAGGGTCTAGTGCTGGAGACAGGAGAAATTCTTAACCTCCTAAGAGTAGAGTCTTTTCTTTGTCCTTGAATCCCCAGGGCTAAACACCATAGGTGGCATGTAGACATGGTGGGCACAAGAACATGTTCTGGGCAGCTGGCATGGAGTTACTAGGGTGGGTCATGGCTGGGAGCTGAGTCCCAAGCAAGACTGGCTAGAGGGCTGCCAGGGGGCTCCGTTTGACAGACAAGAACCTACGTGATGGATGAGAGGACAGGAGCCATGAAGGAAGTGATGGGGAGGGACCCAGAGCCCAAGGCAATCATGGAGGCTCAGGTAGGGAAAGAAGCAGAGATAAGGCGTTTCCAGATCACTAGGTTGTGAGCAGACGCTGTTCCTGGGAGTGGAGGAAAAGCAAGATCAACTGCTGTCAATGCCCACTCAGCTTCTGCTTTCTCTGGAGCACATCCGCATGCTAATGTCACATTACCCAGCTGCTAGCAGCCTGCTCCCCTATGCTCCTTACTCGGCGGGGGGGCTGCAGGAGGGGGAGCCAAAGGAAGGGGCTGCCTGTAGAATTCCTTGTCTCTCTTCATGCACAGTGAGCTCCCAAGTGCCCTACCAACAATGGCTGGGAAGAGAAGGATTAATGACTTGGAAGCTTCCCCTTCTCTGTATTGGCACACCAGCTTTGTAACAGCCATGGCCGACAGCACAGCCTGCTAGCAGCTGGGCACGTGTGACAGACATCATTCCCTCTGCCCCTGATGCCCAGATAAGAAAATCCTCTAGCCTTGGGCTCTTAAGAAGTCAGTTCATGGACCGCCCTGGTGGCACAGTGGATAAGAAACTGCCTGCCAAGGCAGGGGACACAGGTTCCATCTCTGGTCCAGAAAGATTCCATATGCCTTGGAGCAACCAAGCCCCATGCGCCAAAACTACTGAGCTTGTGCTCCAGATCCCTCGAGCCGCAACTACTGAACCCCCGCACCCTAGAGCCTGTGCTCTGCAATAAGAGAAGCCATTGTAATGAGAATCTCATGTACTGCAAGGAAGAGCAGCCCCCACTCACCACAACTAGCGAAAGCCCGCACACAGCAACGAAAGACCTGGCGCAGCCAATAATAAATAAATAAATAAATTTCTTTTAAAAGTCAGGTCATCAGTGCAAGCTCGATGCATGAAGCAGGGCACTCAAAGCTGGTGCTCTGGGACAATACAGAAGGATGGGGTGGGGAGGGAGGTGGGGGGGGCGTTCAGGATGGGGAGACACGCGCACTCGTGGATGATTCACGTCGATGTATAGCAATAATTACAACACTGTAAAGAAATTATCCTCCAATTAAAATTAATTAATTAATTATTTAAAAACTCGGGTCATTTCACAGAGTATTTACCATTCTATCCCAGGTGACTCAGGAGATAATCAAGGCCCAGGGAGGTTAACACATTGTTATTCATAAAATAGGTCCCAGAAAAGAGGCTGATTCTGAGAATTGATATTTGAGGGCCTGCACTAGATGGTCCTTCATAGTGACCCATTTGGCAGATAGGGAAACTGAATCATAGAGTCTCTATGCTGACAACGATTCTCTGACTCTACTCTAGCTTCCCTGGATTTTTCATCTAGGCCTGACTTTTGCACTTCAGTGTTCATCTCTCATGTTCAATGTTAGCAAGAATTCTGCTAAGTTGGTTGAGCCAGAAAGTTTCACTCTCAATACCTAATCAGGTTCCCCATCATCTACCATACCCTAAGTGATGTCTGTTCACCCTGGCCTGCCTTCAAGCAAGAACAAGGGGTTGCTAAGGACTTCTTTCTCTCTGAACTATATGACTCCTCCATCCTGCAGCAAGGGAGGCCTGCGGGTTACAAAGTGGCCAGTGCTCCTGAGATGGGGAGGAGGGTCTCCCTGTGATGCCCCTGCCGAGGTTTGCTGGGCATGGCATGAAGACCTGCTGCAGCCCAGCCTTAGAGCAAATCTGCGTGACTCCAGGCCTAGAGAGAGCAGCGCTCCCTGAGTTTTCAGTGCTCCCTGAGCTCTCAGCCTATCATTTCCAAGTACCACCCACGGAGTTGGCCTCTTCAGAGTCTTCAGTGTTCTCCAAATGGCTCTGCTGGAGGAGAGTGTTAGCATGGAATTATGTGTATTTCTTTCCCCTGGTTTAACCATGAAGGTCATTTGAGCAGCTTAGAGGAAGAAGCAATGGGGCCAACAGACTGCGTTAAAGCTGGCAGAATCAACAACTGGCCTAGCCAAGCTAGCAAACAATAAGCCCAAGAGGCAAATGGAGAGTTTCTGGATAAAGCACAAAGGAGAACATTCAGTCTCCAAGCATCCTAAGAAGAGAGGGTCGTGGCTGGATGGTGAAGGGGAGGATATGAAATGATCTGCATTTTGTGGGTGGTAAAACTTAGGCTTAGAGAGGTTACATAAGCTCCCTAGGGCTACATGGTACATTGGCATCATGCTGCTAACAGAAGCCAGATCTTTGGACTTTGGCACACCTGGAGAGGAAGAAGAGACCCAGCCCACCCCTCCCATGGGGCATACCCTCACCTCCATTCACTGAGTCTTGTGGATCCTCATATTCCAGTTCAAAGGCCCCCTCCTCTGTCTCTCCCTCTGGTCCCCATCCAAACTCCCATACCACTTTATAGGAGAACATGTCTTACATCACACTCTGGGACTATGTTCATGCTGTAAGTACAGTACCTGGCACAGTGCCCACAGGTGCTCAATAGCTATTTGTTGGATGAATGAATGAACAAATAAATGAATGAACGTTTTACCTCCTGAACTAGATCATAAGTTCCTTCAGGCTCAAAACCAACCTGAGCTGGGCACACAGTGAACCCACCATCAACACCATTTGATTAAACAACTCTAACTTCAGTACTTTCAAGAGTTGGGACC